ACTGAATCGAACCGGTGGGGTTCACATTTCGAGGAGCAAGAAAAACGATTACAATCGAAATTTTGCACCAAAAGAAACAGTCCTTAGGAAACAATTGAATCACAAAAGTGCATTATTGTCAACGGTGCTCCGCCCAGTTGCCTTCGATAACCTCATTGTTCAACCAGAAAATGTTCTCCAAATCGGGCATCCTGTCGGAAATCTTGGCTTGGCCTACACAGTCTACCAGTCGAAAAACAGTGTGGGGCCAGGCTGGACACTCGGAAGTGCTTTTTGTCCAAAAGAGTGGTCAAAGCTTGGAATACTCTACCTCTGGATGTCATTATTTCGGAATTTCTAGAGGTTTTAAAGCGGAAGCTGGATCGATATAACAGTGCGCGCCACATTAAGAATTGACCGCTGTCAAGGGGATGCCAGAGAGTTAAAATTAGAATACTACTTTCTATATCCCAGTAGCATTTGTTTTATAGCAAAACCTTTTATAGTAAAGACGATCTAAAATCTTCAGACCGATGGACAAGACGATGAAAACGCAAAACCATTATACTACTTGCTAGATTCTAGACAGTGAACTTGTAGTTCAATGGTTAGGGCGTTTGACTTTGATCAGAGAGGTCACGAGTTTGAGGCTCGGGTATGACACCATTTGGGTCTGGGTATGACTAGATGACGACGGCTTATAAGCCAGAAATGGCCATCTTAGACTCCCTTGTCTTTGTCGATAATGTCCTTCTGCCTATACTATTTTTTTTATGCACAACCTATTGCTTAAGCCCTCTCATCATAATTCCCAGGCGAAGGCCTCCGCAGTCCTTCCTACTTGACTATCTGCGAACTGCGACATGCATTTGCCGAACCCTGCGGTCATAGTCCACGCGGCCCCTAAACATTTTCCCTTGGTTCTACTCACAGCGGACTGTCAGGGATCCTGGCGGATATTGCTGTTTTCTGAACCTTTACGGCGGACTCTGCAATCAGCATGGGAGTGTCTGGCCGCATCTTTCGCACTTCGGTGATGATCCCGATGACCCCTGCTATGCTCCCCGTTTGACCCTCCACCCAAGAGCAACAGTTTTTCCTCCTAAAACATCCCAAGTAATTTTTTCTAATTCCCGCTTTTTTTCCCGTATGTTCCATCTCATTGGCTCATGTCACTTGGCCTCGCTAATAAACCGAAATAGTATTTTCTGATATCACAGCACGCATGTACAAATAGGGAGTTCAAAATTAACCCACCTACATTTGCCTGAAATATACTGATACAAATACTACACTTAAGCGGGATTGTAATATTCATTATCGTGCAAAATGATTTCAGTGTAGTTCAATAATTCCAGGATGCCAGCTTATGCATGAATATCTTTCTGGTCGCCTATAAACAGCGAATCCGTTAAAAGTATGTATTTCCTGCAGATTTTTGAAAAATATACCTTCCTATACTCGTTTTCTGGCAAATCATACCCCTGAGGATCTACTACATTGACGCTCCTATGTAACTACAAGCAGCGACCTTGACCAATATTATCTGCATTTTCATGACATAATACTGAATAAGACGGCACATTCAAGATGGTTTCCAGACGGCAAATGACAACACGATCAATATTTTACTCAGATTTTTTACTAACCCCTCAAGCTCCCACAGTGCACTTACGGTATGTGACCTTATTCATTAAACGTAGAAACGGAAATTGAGATCATCCATTCCATACACCTAAAACGTTGTGCATTTCACTTATTTTCCGGAAATATTAATTTTAGCGCGCTTAATATTTTTCTAAAAAGCTCACCGTTTGGTTGCCTTTACGGTGGAAAATGGTGGAGTAAGTGGAAATCCTCCAGCATAATGCCGTATTACAGCACCTTTCAAATAGGTGACTTATTAGAAAATGTTTTTCAATTATTAAAACTATATTCATCGTTGGCCCTTCTAGTGAATGTTTATTTGTTAGTGAGTTTTCGAATGTGACGCAAGCGCCATGAAAAAGAATGTCCGAACGCTCACGACAACGACATTCAAGCGTCTGTGTAGTATCCTAACAACACTCGTCCATTTGAATTTGAGACCCATCTTAGTTATAATGAGATATATTGTTCTTATGATGCCATTCTATCTTTTGGTTACCTGAAGCCTTTACCAGAGAACTACAAAACACATAAATATATGAAACTACACATTTATAATTACTGACTTCAGATCAGTAAACGTTTCTTATTAAATGAAATGTCAACCTACTGGAGGAGATGAGCGCACATGGCTCTGTTGGCAGCGAAGAGAGATCAAGAAGAGACCTGAGAGGAGACACAGTCCAGCAATGATACTGCAAGGTGGCAGCATATGCACCAGATCACTTTTTCCGTCAGGCAGGCTGGAGTTCGACTCAGTAGAAATAGAGTCGTGGACGGTAAAATTCGCATCGAAAGTGAATGGCGACAAGAGAAGTGGTGCCAGAGCGGCTCCCACACCGTAACCAGCATGCATAAAGTTGAAGGGTCCGGCAGCATGATCACCCCAGATGGACCCGAGTAGTGGATTTCCATCTGAAAGACAGGATTAGAGTTCTGTGCTAAGGAAAATAAATGAAAGTACTCATGACTATGTCTGGAAACATTAGCTTTCATAATATAGGTGAGCACTATTATTTTGGATCCTGACCTAGGAAGCGAATTTTTACGAGTGTTACCATGTTCTGGTTATCTGTGGGCTTGAAGCTGAATCTGGCGTTCATGATGTTTCATGAGAGGAATTCGGCTGCGCAGCGGCTCCACCGTCCGTCTCTGCGCGGTGTCTGGTATATGAACACCAGAAAATCAAAAAGGTAATAATTTCAGAAATTATTTTGTGCCAGACAAGAAGATATTGATTATTTTTCGGAATTGTTGTACCAAA